TAATGCTTTTATAGGAATAACGCGTTTCTTCTATTTCTTTCCTTAATGTGGAAGTACCATTTCTTCCTCTCTCTCTTTTTTTTCACTCATTTTCTGTGTTTCTAAAATTTCCATTTCGACGGAACTTTAAAACTGATGTAAATTTTGCGATGGCCTTTTCTACCTGATTTTGGGCTCATTTTGAACTCAAATAACTCCAATGTCAAAGTAGCATTTTGGGCTCGAACAAATAATCTGACTAGCAAAATGCGACTTATCTGATCACCTTCACAGCTTGCCCCCTTCATTTGACCCCGTTTGGTATGTGATTTTTCTCCTACTTGTTTCTTATCCCCTTCTTTCTTTAGATTCCGTAGTTTGGCTGATAAGAAGGTTTGACTTTTCGTAACTTGATCAGTTGGTTTGTAAGAAAGAGTGAAGGTGAAAAGATGGTGATTTTGCAGTCCTCTCCAAGGCTTTAACACAAAAGTAACTCCAACGGCTCCTGTTTTAGCTTCAAGTAGGGAAAAGGGTTTCTCAAGACAAATGTTTCAGAGACTTGAAATTGTGCTAGTTGAGGGTAGACCGAACATTGAAAACAATTTTCATCGAGCGGACAAAATAAGTCACAATCAGTTAATTGCCAGAAGATATGAATAGTGAAAGTCTACTGCACATAGAAGCTTTTTTATTAAAAAGGTGGGGGAAGGAAATATTCCTCTCAGCTACCGCTACCACCTGTGGGCAGGTTTGCCAATTTGTGGCCTTCTTAAGTAAGCCCAAAAGACAGCCGCTTGAATGAGTGCTCTAATACAAAGGCCAGGATATTCAGGACGCAAATGAGAGTTGCGAAGTGCTTCACTTCTTTTGTTCTTCTGCACACATCTCTTTAGCCCTTTCGAGGGAGGGAGAGAAAGGGAAAACTGAGTTCACACAGATCCTCTATGTGTACTCTCTACTTTCCGGAAATAACCATCTCAGTGTTAAAGAGTAATTTCTAAAACACGGAAAATGAGTGAAAAAGGGGGAGAGAGGAAGAAAAGGTACTTCCACATTAAGGAAAGAAGTGTATTTATTTTGCATCTGTGTCTCTACTTCATCCATCTCTTTCGTCGCGGAGTTCAAGGCGCTGCAATCAAAGGTGTCAGCAAAACCCACGCAATTAGTGGTGAGGAGATGAAGGCAATTCTCGGAGACAGGTCGCTGTTTTAACGTATGTTAATGACTTCGGCTCAGACGAGTTGGTCAATTACTGGGCCATGGAAACAGACATAGGGGGTCAGACGTTGTAAGGAGGAGCCAGTGAGTTTGATGTAGCTCAACT